GACAAGTCGCGGACAAACGCTCGAGATCCCCAGACACGGAACGCAGACGCATCGCGAACCTTCCCCGTCCACAGCAAAGCTGGGGAGGTCTCCGGCATGGAGACCCTGGGCTGAAGGTTGATCTGATGCGCCGCGTACCGAACCGCAAACGGCCATAGAAAATGGGGGGCAGCCGCATGCATCATGGACGTACGGGCGACGTCCATGACCATGCCAATGCGGCGCTCAGCAATCCCATTTTGCTGTGGAGAGTCCGGAAGCGTGAAGGTCTGGCGGATACCCCGTGCACGACAGTAGGCTCGCAGAAGGCCAGAGGAGAACTCTCCGCCTCTGTCAGAGTGCAGACGCAGAACAAGAAAGTCCGAGCCGAAGCTCCGCCTGAGCTGGAGACGAGCTGCGCGGATCCAGTCGATCAACACCTCAGTGACATCACCCTTGCTGCGCAAGGGGAAGACTGTGGTGTAACGCGAGTAGTCGTCAACCACCAACAGGAAGTAGCGCTCGTGACCCTGTCCACGGACGCGGGCTGGGCCCCACACGTCCATGTGAAGCGTCTGCAACGGGGCCTCTGTCGGAGGAAACTGGGAGGAGTGAGGGGTAGCCCGCTGCCGCCCCTCGACACAGGGGACGCAGGTAGGGCCAGGCCCCGGAGGAAGGGGAGGGAGGGACCGGGGAAGACCAGAGACAAGGACACGAGAGGCCATGCTTCGGAGACGAAGCAGGGAGGAGTGACCAAGGCGGTGGTGCCAGAGGAGAGTCTCGTGAGACAGGAGGCGACACGAGCAGGGGGCAGACTCAGGACCAGACCTAGACGTTGCAGCTAACACCTGACCTGACGCAGCTACCTGACCAGACGTAGGGATTGGAGGAGACGCAGTGGTCAGTGTGTTCAGGCTTGACCCCGGCCGACGTGTAAACGTGGCCAGGTGTCGGCCTGTCCGAGCGTCCGTGCAGCGGGTCACCCGCTGACTCGCAGGAGTGAACTGGTGAACCCCCGCATCCTGTAGGTCAGCACCACTCACCAAGTTCGTAGAGAACGAGGGGAGGTAAAGACCAGATAGGGTGCCAGAGGCGGCTGCCGGAGAAGGGAGGACAGGAGAGAAGTGAGCAAGGACATGACCCCCAGAGAAGTCTGCCAGAGAGACCGCAACTAGCCGACCAAGCGGCGTGAGTGTGGTGCGGTCTCGAAAGAAGGAGCGAGAAGCCCCCGAGTCAAGTGTGAAGGTGTGGGAGGCTGAAGCCGACGCAGTACCTGAGAGTGCAGACTCACCAGTACCGGAGGAAGCAGACGCACTAGCACCTAGAGCAGCAGCCTCGCTAGCACCAAGAGCAGCAGCCTCACCAGCACCTAGAGCAGCAGGCTCAATGCCCGGGTCGGGTGGGAAACACCGGTAACAGTCACCCTCCTCACTAATAGACACAGTATACATAGCAGCAAGAATAGCATCAAAGTCAAGGTCAAAGATAGCTACCCCTGCCCTAGACAGCTCGCCCAAGCGAGGGATCTCAGTGGCCTCAGGGAACTGGTGACGCCAAGCGTCCGTTAGGCGGCCAAAGCAGCGCTGGGTGGGGTGCGCACCCCCACACTGCTCACCCGCACGGTCGCCGATGCGTAGGAGGTAGGTGCACGGACCAGTACCCCCACCCCGCTGGCGTGCAGCGTACCACTCACGGAGCTGCTGAGGGGACAGGGTCTCCCGACTGTGCTGCTGCTGCTGGCGCTGACCACCACCGGAGCCACTCCTCTGCGAAGAGCCACGACCTCCTCCTCCTCCTCCTCCGCCACCGCCTCCTCCACCTCCGCCACCTCCACCACCTCCGCTCCCACCGCCACCGCCGCCGCCTCTGCCTCCACTGCCGCCACCGACTCCTCCACCCCCGCCACCACCCCCACCGCCACCCCCACTCCCTCCCCCGCCTCCACCGCCGCCTCCACCGCCCCCGCTAGCTCCTCCAGCGCCCCTGCCCCCCTTGCCCTTGCCAGAGCGGCGTCTCCCACTAGGGGTAGACACCGCACCGATCGACTCAAGCCCAACGAGGTCGGCCGCAGCAGCAGAGGCAATAGAGGGCAAAAGGGGGGAGGGGGAACACCCCTCAAAGATGGGGGTGCGCGGGTCACCACGAGAGGCTCCTACAGCGACTATGCTCTTCTCCGCTGCTAGGAGGGCCTTCTCGAGGAGGTCAACAGTGAGAGTGGTGGGACAGACTGAGAGAAAGTGGTCCCTGACTACGCGAAGGGAGTCAGGGAGGCGGGTGACTATGTAGTAGAGAGTGATGTACATGGGGGGGGTTCTTGGAGGAGAGGGATGGCAGGGGGAGGAGAGGGATGGCAGGGGGAGGAGGGGGCCGGATAAGAGGGTCAGAAGAGGGAGCAGTTGGGTGAGAAGGTGGCTTGGTAGGCCTTGAGCAGTTGGGAGCACAGCAGCAGGAGACGAGTGGTGAGGCAGGTGGATGGATGACTCGAGGTAAGCACAGCAGCAGAAGCGTTGGTGAAAAGGCCTGCTTTGGTGACTGACTGAGTGTCTGATGGGACTAGGCTGTTATTAACTTGAAGTGCGCAAAGTGTCTCATAACGTGAAGGGGATGGGACTAGACCACTCATAACCCCACCCCAAGAGTGCAATGTGTGCTGGAGGGTGGTAAGGTATCTTGGCCGTCATGTGTGGTGAGTTGGTTTTTGCGATTTCTTAAATCTCATTCTTCTCTCTCCTCTCCCCCTTGTCACCTCCCCTGCTCCTTGTTTCTCCCAGGTGGCAGTCTGCCTGCTCTCTGCCTTCCCCTGTGCCCCGTGGTCCCTGCTGCTGCGATCATGGGTGTGCGCGCTGCAAGCACAGCTCGGCTGATCACTCATTCTTTGCTGTGCCATCACACACACTCACACTGTCATGTGCATTTACACCCACACATGCAATCACGCCCGTACCCTCACATGCGCTCACACCCGCATCCTCACCCTCTCGTGAACAGTCGCATGTGGTTTCATAGCCTTTGCATGCATGGTAGCATGCATGTTCTCACATGTACTCAACTCAACATCCCTTGCGATGCCTACAAGCATGGAGCAGCGTGGTCCAAGAGCTTGCCAGGCATGGTTTTGTGCCCATGTCGTTCCTTTGAAATTTACTCACATCTACGTATGACTTTGAGCATAATTGTATCATGCGCTAGGGAAAAAGCTAGTAGAAACCACTCAAGACTTGTTTTTAGTGACCAACATTAAGCCTCGGGTGCAGTGAAATTCAGTTCATGAGCTTTCACTAAGTACCAGATGAGTGAGACAAAACCAGGACTGGCAGGACATGTACAGGGTAGACCGTACTGTAATGAAATGGTGTGCTCGTGCAATTCGCAACCGCAAATAATCCGACAGGAGAGCATGGTTCGTTGGATTGATTCCCCAGCCAAGGCCAATCCAGACACGTACATCAACAGTATTGCTGTTGAGCCGCTATTAAGTACACTAGGTAGCTTCACTAACAGCGAGGTCGCAATGGAAAATGCAGTACCTAAAGTACACTACAACATGAGAAGATGCAACGATGAGATGCTGGACCAACGCCAGCCACCATCTTCAGCTATCACCTCCCACTGGCAGGTCACTGTGCCATACGACGCTGAATCCCGTCAAATTTTCGGGTTAACGCACCAGCGCGCTCACACAACCCGGATAATCGTGTCCTTTGCAACCGGGTCCTGGCAGCGACGGCCGTTGTTGAGGGCCGCGAATTTGAATTGCTTGCCCGCGTAGTATCGCTTCAGCAACACGGCGCACGTCTCGCCGCGAGTTTGATAGTACTCCGCGAAATCCGCCTCCTTCGTCTTCCTCCCCGCCGCCAACGGAACTGTGTTAAGAATATTTGTTACAAAGAAAATATAATCCCAAGCAGGCTAAAGTCCCTGGATATCAGCATTACTGAAAAAGGAGACCAAATAGTAGGTCTGAAAGACCACGGAGGTGCTATGTAAGGTACGGCTGCATTCTGCAGGTACTCTACGGGGACACAGAACAACAGGATAGAGGCGGGAAAGGGGCGCTGCTCACCGTGGGATGTGAGGAGAAGAGCCAGTGCCAAGACCAGCACGGCGCGGACAATGTTCGTAAGGCGGAAAAGCGTTGTCATGATGGCCGAAGAAGACGGGGTCGAGAGATGGGAGTGAAATGAATGAGATTGGGAGGGAGATGGGATGAACGTGATGAGTGAGAGATGCTCCCCAGGTGCGCTATTTGTGCCGCGATGTATCCAGATGAAGGCACTTGAAAAACGTGGGTTGAAATCGGATTTCATGGGAAAGACCTGGGTGCTAAACGACGCTTTGCTATCCAGTACGGTGAGCCCGTTTCACCCAAACCAGCGCGATTCACGCCGCCAAGTATGGTGATCAAGGCAGATGAAAACCTTGGGTTCAAATCGGCAAATACGAGTATAACCAAGTTTTAAAACAGCGCACTCAGTTCCAGTACGGTAACTAGATTCACCTCTGCCACCAATTTTGTTGCTGACGCGTTTTTCAAGTAGCAACGCGATCCGAGGCGCGGTGAGGAAACCGAGAAATGCGGGGCTTCTGACCCGTTTTAATCACCAACCAAACCAGTAACTCAGTGTAAATATTAGAAGTAAGAATGACACAGCTACTATAAAAGCACTATACATGTGTTCCAGCGATTATTCGGTTGCCAATTTGCAGCTTAAATGCTGTCTTAAAACCAGGGTCTCAATTAATATGAAAAAAAAAAAAAAAAAAAAAGGGGGGGGCGGTGGGAGGATCAAACTCAGACTTGTTTTTGAAACGACAGCCCTGCCCAGTAGCGTATATGCAGGGGGATACAGTAGTTGAAAGTAATCCAACTCGTGAGCTCTCCAAAACCATTTACTTCAACACGACTGGAATGATATACGATTCATTGATCCTGCCCAGTACTAAGCGCCATCTGCACAGCGCACTGAGCTGTTGCACACATGTCAGGTCAGGGCGCATTGACTTCAACTCCAAAGCCATGTTCATTGAACATAGCCAGTTCCCAAAGAGCACAGTGCAGCACGATACAAAGGAGTGCGCACTGAGCTGTTGCACACACACACACATCCCACACTCCCAACCAATGGCCGCTCAGCCCCTGCCTCTTCCTCCTGGTCCTGAAAAGGAAAAGAAAAGAATCATCAAAGAGTGATCATGTAAAAATATGCCGGCAGGAATGCTTGCCAGCCAAGAAGGCATCGGAGGGAGTCATAAATTGCAACAATCGGACAAAAAGTAACAATTAATACATATTGAGATGTCTCAAGAAAGGGACAGGAATACAGTACCTCACATAGCACCAACTACCCTGCGAAACCGTACTCACCTCCGCCTCTTCCACCTCCTCTTCCTCCTCTCCCTCCTCCTCGCCCCCCGTCATCCCACCCTCTTCCCCGCCCTCCTCTCCCCCCTCCCCCCTCGTCCATGCGCCCTCTGCCTCCTCTCCCCCTGCCCTGCTGTATCGGCCGACGATCTGGGAGCAAGGGAGAGAAGAGTGGGAGTAGGGGGGAAGGGAGTGCAGGAGTAAGGGGGAAAGGGTTGTCGGAATGAGGTTCGTGGGGCAAGATTTGAAGTGCTGAGAAGTTCGCCCCCTTCTCCCCACGGCCATGCGCCCTCTACCTCGTCTCCCCCTGCCCTGCTGTATTGGCCTGCTATCTGCCTGCTGTATTGGCCTGCTATCTGCCTGCTGTATTGGCCTGCTATCTGCCTGCTGTATTGGCCTGCTATCTGCCTGCTGTATTGGCCTGCTATCTGCCTGCTGTATTGGCCTGCTATCTGCCTGCTGTATTGGCCTGCTATCTGCCTGCTGTATTGGCCTGCTATCTGCCTGCTGTATTGGCCTGCTATCTGCCTGCTGTATTGGCCTGCTATCTGCCTGCTGTATTGGCCTGCTAGCTGCGTGCTATATTGGCCTGCTATCTGCCTGCTGTATTGGCCTGCTATCTGCCTGCTGTATTGGCCTGCTATCTGCCTGCTGTATTGGCCTGCTATCTGAAGGGAGTGAGGGTGGCAGGACGTGAAAGGTGTACAGAAAAAGATGGTACAGAGAGGGGGGCAGAGGGAGAGATAAGGGGACGGAGAGGGGGATAGGAGTGAGTGGGGCAGGAAGTGCGGGAGGTACGGAGAGAGGAGAGTTGGGAGAAAGGGGTAGGGAGCGAGGAGGGTACAAAGAGAGGGGTTCACAGAGAGAGGGGGTACCGAGGGGGGGGGCAGGGAGCGAAGCGGGTAGGGAGAGGGGGTGCGGAAACGAGGGGGGCATGGAGGCGAGGCGAGAGGGTAAGCATGGCGTGACAGCATGGCATGGAAAGCAATGTGCCGTTAGGGTAATGTGGCAAGGCATGGAGTAGTTTACCTTGTCTTCTGATGACCTCCTCTTGTACTTTGACGATCACCTGGGATGCACACAACACACAATGTTCACGGAGGGATGGAGAAGACAACACACATGATGGCACAGCACGTGACATTTGAGTCGACTAAGAACTTCACCTTTTTGGACTTGGGAACTTTGCCAAATACCTGAACCGCTCACAATGAATGAACATGGATCGAGTGGGCCACACAAGAAAAGAATCGAGGTTTGAGTCGACTCAAATCTAGAAACGCATACAATGAACATGGATGGATTGGGGCACACAGAAAGCACCGATCATTCCAAAAGGTCCATGTTGAGGCAACTACGGGTCACACCCTTATGCAGCTAAGGTCCAAGGTGAATCATCTCAACCATGCAGCTGACACTACACACACCCTTCACGGTCACAGCACACACCACCCACCCACCCGCCCAACTCATGTGGCACTCGCAGGTACGCGACAGTGTTGCCTCACAGTGACACGTAGCACTCTTGAAACTACAAGACAAGACACAGGGAACGCTCTTCCTGCCCCATTTCCCCCCAACCCCCACCCCCCACCCACCTCGCCTGGCACTCGCAGGTGCCTGATGGTGTTGCCTTCCACGTAACACTGCCGCATGCAGCCGACAACACACATACCCTCAACGGTCAACGCACACACCACCCAAACCCCCACCCTCCATTCTCCCCGCTCTTTCCCCACGCACCTCATCAGGCACGCGCAGGTACTTAACGGTGGTGCCTCGCACGTAGCAGTGCGCCATGCATGCGCCAGAAGCAGTCGCCATCATTGCACGTGCACATGAGACCCCTCCCTTCCCTCCCCTCATGCAAGTTGTGAGCCGACTCAAACCACGCGAGAAGCAGCCTCCGTCCTCGAACGTGCAGAACCAAACACAGCGAACCACCACCCTTCCCCTTTCTCCTCTCCCCCAGACCTCCCCACCTCCCTCCCTCCTCCCCCCTCTCTACCCACGCACCTCATCAGGCACGCGCAGGTACTTGATGGTGTTGCCGCGCACGTAGCACTACGGCATGCGCCAGAAGCGGTCGCCGTCTTTGGACGTGCAGATGACCTCGCACAGGTGGATGTTCATCCACGTGTCACAGCTCACCAGATGCACGTTGTACGTCTCGCCATTCTTCAGCTCTACCAGCTGCATTGCACGGCAGCAATGAGTGAAGAAGGGTGAAGAGGAGTGAAGGGATGAGAGGGTGGAATGGGGGAGGGTGGAAGGGGAAAGAGAACGGGGACGCGCAGATGACCTGTTTCAGGTGGATGTTTCATCCACGTGTCAACAGAGTGCGAGCTTTAGTTGCAGCAGGTTGGAACGCATCAACGAGACTGTGAGTCGAAATCCTTGGAAATTGCCGAGTTTCTACACATCGCAAGAGCGAATGCCCAGAAAACGCTAATGGAAAGGGGGAAGCTGAGAAGCAGAAATAGACCAAGCAGCAGGGAAACGCTAGGAGTCAGTAGCAGACGGGCCCTCTACTGACAGGTCATGCCGCTCGCCCGACCCAACCGACTCTCACCGAGTGATTGTGCCGGTTCACGCAATCGACCACACCCGGCCGAATAAGGAGGGTACTACGGTAGACAACCCCATACTGCTTAGTGGGAAAATCGGGACGGACTTAGTAAAAATCTTCGTAGACGGGGGAGCCAGCCACAGCCTCATCAACACTGCCACAGCACGAAAACTGCGACTGCCACTGAACAGATGCTTACTTGAGATCGACGCAAGACTGGTAGACAGCACGCCGCTGGTGATACGGGAGCGCGTAGACCGGGTTCGGATTCGATGTAGGGGTAACTTCACATTTAGCCAGGAAATGCTCGCAACGACCCTCGACGGAACCGATATTTTACTCGGGCGTGATTGGTTGCGACGACACAATCCGCGAATCGACTGGACGACGGGTGACTGCACCGTGCGAGTGAACGGTAACAACATCGCCTTACCTCGCTGGGGCTCACCTGAGTCTTCGTCGGTGCGTGTCAACGCGATCACAATGAAACACGCCGTAGCGGCAGGAGATGACGTGTACGCGGTCGACATTCGGGATGCCGAGGCAGCAGACAAAGGAGGGAATTTATAGAAACTGCTGGCTGACGTACCGAGTGACCTGGCAGCACTATTGAAGCAGTACAACGACATTTTCTCGGACGATTTTCCGACGCGACTGCCACCTCAGCGACCGCACGACCACAGGATAGAGATAGAACCGGGGGCACAGCCAATAGTACAGTGACAGTTCCGACTAACCCAGCCCGAACTGGAGGAACTGAGGAAGCAGCTCGATTACCTACTCGAGAAGGAATTCATTCGCCCTAGTTCGTCGCCCTTCGCAGCACCGATACTGTTCACACCGAAAAAAGACGGGGGATTTCGCATGTGCATAGATTACAGAGCACTGAACAGGGTTACCATCAAATCCCGTTACCCCATCCCGCGAGCCGACGACCTGGTCCTACTGGAGGTTTTGCTGAGCGACGTGAGCCTGCGTCTCGTCCTGCGTCGCCTGTTCGTGCTGCTCGCACTAGTCGTCGTGCTCCGCGTCCGCGTCCTCCTGCGGTCCCAGGTACACACCAGATGGCACTGCGTCCTTCCACTGCTCCTATGCGTGTCCCGTTGCGGTCTCCTCCAGAGTCCTCTCTTCCTCTCCTTGCTGACCCGGAGTCTGACTCTCTTCGTGCTGCCAGTCCTACTGTCACGCGTCTCTTGGCTACTGTCGTCACTGACCCTTCCTTTGAGTCCACTGCTGCGTCGGCCCTAGTTGCTGAGCTTGTCGACTTTGCTGCTCGCTGTCGTCTAGACTACGCTGCTAGTCTTGTTGCTGAGTCTGAGTCTGTCTGTCCTCCGTCCGTTGTGGGTGAGTGTGCTCTTAGCACGGACGTCCTTGAGGACAGGCACGAGGAGTTCCAGTGCTTTGCTGCTGCTTTGCCTCATCTCGTGTCCACGCTGATTGCCCCTGAGGAAGACCCGGATGCACCAGACATCCCGACTCCTCGATCGTACGCTGAGGCGATAGAGGGTCCCTACTCCTCTCAGTGCCAGTCAGCCATGAACGCAGAGATGGCTTCCTGGAAGTCCACAGGCACCTACGTCGACGAGGTTCCCCCTCCTGGGGCGAACATCGTCAGTGGCATGTGGATTTTCAGGGTGAAGCGGCCGCCGGGTTCTCCGCCTGTCTTCAAGGCACGTTACGTGGCTCGAGGCTCCAGTCATCGGCAGGGAGTTGACTACTTTCAGACCTTCTCTCCCACCCCAAAGATGACCACTCTTCGGGTGCTGCTGCACATAGCCGCTCAGCGCGACTACGAGCTTCACTCTCTTGACTTCAGCACTGCTTTCTTGCAGGGCAGCCTGCACGAGGAGATCTGGCTGCGCCGCCCACCTGGTTTTACTGGGTCGTTTCCTCATGGTACCCAGTGGAGCCTCCGGCAAAACAAGCGAATTGAATCGTGCGACGTCACTCTCAGCCACAGGGGCTTGTCGCTGCTGCCCCTGCTCCCCCCACCCGCTCCCCCTTCCGCTCTCCGCCTCCCTCCCCCTCTTCCTCTTCCTCCCAGCCCCAGCACTCCTCCCCGGCTGCTGCCCCAGCGTCCATTCGACCAGGGCAGGCCCGGCAGTCAGAATTCCGTGGCACTGGGTGGCTGAAGGGCGGGGACAGGGGTTGGATGCGGGAGGGAGGGGAGAGAAGGAGGAGAGGGGAGAGGAGGGAATAACGGGAGAGAGGGGAGATGGGAGAGAACGGAGAGAGGGGAGAGCAAGGAGAGAGGGGAGGGAGTGGGAGAGTGGAGAGAGAGTGGGAGAGGGGGGAGAGAGGGGAGAGAGGCGGAGAGGGGAGGGATTGGGAGAGTCAGGAGAGTGGAAGGTGCAGGGCCTGATGCTGTTGCTCGTCAACAAACACGCCAGGCACGGTAGGCACGGTAGGCACGGTAGGCACGGTCGGCACGGTAGGGCAGCGGCAGCAAAAATGCGGAGACAGCAGTGTGACGCAGGGTGGCATGAGTCGGGGACGGGGGCGGAAAAACGGTTGGAGAGGAGATTGAGACGAGGTGGGGGCGAGTGGAGCGGGGAGCGGGACAGAGAGCAGGGAAGGTAGGAGGTGGAGTCAGGCGAAGGGCAGCGAGGGAAGACGTGCATTGAAGAAGCGGAGAGGAGCGATCTGGAGCAATCAATGGGTTGGAGCTTCGCAGAGACGCGGCAGGCAAGGCACGGCGGGGCACAGCGGGACACAC